GAGGGACGGGCACCGGGCGGGAAAGCAGAAGGGTTGGCTTGCCGTGCTGGGGTTAAACGGGAAGCGAATGCCCTTAGGTGTAATCATAACAACAGTAGACGCCCATCCCGCGGTATTTCACAGGCCACATTCGTCTAGGAGACGAGCAAAACCAGGCCCAGCTGCCTCTCTAGATCTAATAATAGGCAGTGTCGGTCTCTCGCTCTGAGTAGCGTTACGCCATGGTCTGGAATAGGCAGTGATGAGTTTTTAATAATGTAATAAAAGCTTAAGGTATGCAGCATAGAGAAAGAGGGAAATACAGAAAGCATTACTAAAAAAGGAAGCTAAGTTAAGTGCTAAAAGTATTTTTTACCATAATTCTTTTGCAGATTATGAAATTACTGTTACGTATTTTCTCAAGGTCTGGAGGAGAACCAAGTCTCTACAAGAATTTTTTGCCAATCACCTATGAAGCTCCTGATTTTGAAGTTGCACTTCTGCAATGAAGAAAAAGAGACGGCTCGCTGCAAATCTGAATGAAAAGGTTCATCTTGGCCATGAGAAAGATACTTCAGAGCAGATTCTTGTAGTAGACTCTGCACAAGAAATTGTCTCAAAGTCTGCAGAAATAGCTCCTGCAGATCAGCTTGAATCTTCGCAAGAACTTTCACCATCATCAGAACAGAGAAAGCTCCTTAGCTCATTGCAGTATAACAAAAATCTACTTAAATACTTAAATGACGATAGACAGAAACATCCATCATTTTGTGATTTACTCATAATTGTAGAAGGAAAAGAATTTAGTGCTCACAAAGTTGTAGTGGCTGTTGGGAGTAGTTATTTTCACGCCTGCTTGAGCAAAAATCCAAGCACCGATGTCGTCACATTAGATCATGTAACTCATTCTGTCTTTCAGCATTTGCTTGAGTTTCTCTACACCTCTGAGTTTTTTGTATATAAAAATGAAATTCCATTAGTGCTGGAAGCAGCAAAATTTTTAGATATCATAGATGCAGTGAAGTTACTAAATAATGAAAGTGCTTCTAACATACAGACTGATGTGGTAACTGATGTACCTACACCAGTAGAAACACTCAATGAACTGACAGGTAAACTATTAAATAGTCATCAGTGCACTTTTTGTGGTCGAAGTTTCTGTTACAAGAAGTCCTTAGAAAATCATTTGGCTAAAGCCCACAGATCCCTTTCACAGGAAAGAAAACATGGGTTAAAAATGGTTGAGAAGGCCAGCTTTTCCACTAGACGTTCTACAAGAAACCGTAAATGTCCAGCTAAATTTGATAACAGTGATAATGAAAGTGGTGATGCCTCTGACAGCAATTTGGAAAAAGTCAGTTCTGACAAGGAAACATCTGATAGGAGTGAATTTGAAGACAGTGAAAGTGAATGCAATGCTGATGAAGAGGGACAGGAAGAGGAAATGTCAGGTGAAGATTCAGAGTCTGAAGAACAAAGTGAGAAAGAACAGAATGATACTGAGGAGGGTTCTGAATCAACTGAGGCAGTTGATTCAGTGGGAAATATTCCTGAAGGCTTAGCTCCAGTCATCATTCAGAGCAGTAGCAAAAAACTACTGCAGTGTCCCAAGTGTGACAAAAAATTTGATCGAGTAGGTAAGAGCAAGTTAGGTTGATTCCTTTCCTTTTTACCATATGGTGGTGCTATTTGAGTGGGAAATAAACGGCTTTTTCTCTGTCCTAGGGAGTGAAGATCAGAATTTCTGGATTGTCTCATTGATCCAGTATGCTGCTAATTTTTCTAAGTGTGTTAACTTGTTATGTCTGTGGTGCTAAACAGTTTCGATAAATGAACTGAGTGCATTATTTGAAAAATCTGCAAATACTAAATTTGTTTCTCTTTCACTGCTCTGCATTCTGGTTGTTAGCATGGTATGTAAAAGCAGCCTTGAAAAAGCAGGGAAATATAGCAAGAGATTAAATGATAAATTGCATGAAGTCTGTAATGTATTTTCTGCTGAATTAATTTTAAGTAACAGGGTTGTCATTGCTGCAGTAAAACAGCACCATTGTCAAACAGCCTGAAATTTTTCTGTTCTATATGATGTGTATGTGCTTAGGACCTAGTCACTCTTGACTTCTAGCTTGATATTTCTGGTCTGTAGTTAGCACCGAGTAATACTTTGTCAGGTTAATCTGACCTGTTAGGGCTGTTTATGTTATAGTTAAATCTAGGTGTATGGTTACTTGAGATATCAGAAGAGTAAAAATTCCAGTCCTGACCCATCCAATAGTTTCCTGTCCTTCTTTCCCACATTAAAAGTAAAATACTACTGTCCTCCAGAATTTTTGTGTTCTTTCAGTTGGAATAAATGTTGAATTATAGTCATGTAAGGTATTGACTTCCTTTCAATCATGGGAATTAGGAAGGAAACAGTTCTAGGCATTTTTGGTGTTCTTACAATAGATGCATTGTGTCTTTCATAATTTTGAAATTTTAGGAGTTTATGAAAATGGGATGGGGCTGGTGTGTGTGTTAAACACACTGTGTGTGAGTAGGAATTAGCTTGCTGAGGTAAAATGAATTTTCCAGGGTCACAAATTGTACCATAGAAGCTATTTAATATTAAAAATGTGGGACTTAACTGTACTTGTAATGCCATATCTTAAATTTAAAGTACCATAGGAAATTTTCTGAATTTGAGAGCTTTGTTATTTGTATTGAAAGGCTACTGTACAGAAATAAATGGCTTATGAGTATTTAGGGTTGTGATGGTACATTTTGACTTTGCACACGTTGGAAGCCCTTTTCTCTTTGCACTTTCATAACTTGGAATTCTAGTTTTGTGCTCAAAAAATACATAGGAAATAGCATTAAGACAAGTGATACATAAAGTATTTCTTTATAAGCTTGTATTACGGTAGATAATTGACTTGTATTTTAAATTTATGAGCGATGGTCCTTTTTTTTTTCCTCATCTAACTCCCAGAAGTATGATGCGTATTCTACAGAGAAAAAAAAAAAATCTAGTACAAAGCAGAGAGCCTGTTATTGACTTGAGGTAGGTAGATCCTTGGTGCAGGACAGAATTCTATTCTGAGAAAAAACCTGGCAAACAGAAGAGGGAATGCAAGCATAAAAGAAATGAGAGAGTAGTATTTTTGTTTATGGTAGTATCTAGGATCCCAAATATAGATCATTTGCAAGGATTTGTAACAGTCGTTCAGTGGTTTTTTTTTTTTTTATTTGAAAGTACCTTAAAAATACTGGTTTGTTGCAAGACTGTTCCCTGTTCTGAAAAGGTACTTCACAATCAGTGTAATGAAAGAGTAGTTTTTTAACTTTCAGTACTTAAGAACAGAGTATTCTGTAGGGTTGAACGAGAGGGGCTTGTAACCCTCGCACAGTTTTAACAGTAATACAGAGCCCTTTTAGTTTTACTCTTTATCTTAAGAATAGTTAAGATGGAAGTGTAAGAGGAACCTTGGATCAAACACATGTGATGACCATGCAGTTTTCAGTGGAGTAAACCAGTAGAAATCTTTAGATGTGTGTGGAAGGTACTTCAATCTTGACCGCATTTGAGAGAGAGATTATAGAACAAACCCCAAATGTGTATATTGGAGGTGATACCTGTTACAGTTTATGCGAACAGACTTTTTTGTTGTTGTACAGGCAAATATGAGAGCCATACGCGTGTACACACGGGTGAGAAACCTTTTGAGTGTGATATATGTCATCAGCGCTATTCAACAAAGTCCAACCTGACAGTACACCGAAAGAAACACTCTAGTGATACTGACTTTCATAAAAAGGAACACAAATGTCCCTACTGCAATAAGCTGCATGCAAGCAAAAAGACTTTAGCGAAGCATGTGAAGAGGCAAGTATGAGCAGATTTGTCTTGCGTGTCTGAAGAATTGTTTTTTTCAGTTCAAAAGCAAAGACAAATGTATGCATGCACATAGCATATTCAGCATTATTTCTTTACTGTTTCAAATAAATATCTTTTCAAAGGGCATGGATATTAGCAGTATCAACTAACCTGCCATAAGGAGTGCAGCAGTCTTAATATACTTGTGTTGCTTTTAATTTGGAGGAAGAATAACATATCTTACTTGGTTTTAGATGTTGATGCTATGCTGTTGATGATAATAGGTGGATAAACCATTTTCATGCAGATTCTTTAGGTGAATAATCTGTTTGTGACAGGTTCAATTACAAGGTATTAATATTTACATACTGCTTTTTTCTATGCCTTTGTAAATATCCATAAAGCATTATGATTGAAGCTGTCCTCTCTCTTACCAGTTGTCATATGAGTCTATAGCCAACACTGCTTTCCAGTTACTTGTGCCTTTAGCATTGTTTAATTGTCAGTGTTCTGTTCTGATGGTTTGGTGATCAACTTTCATGCCACATAAAGCTTAGAAATGGGTATCTAGTATTTAGGTGATCTTCATCTTGGAAAGTTGTAACTACTTTCAGCTTCTGTTGTTCTCCTAGGTTTCATCCAGAGAATGTACAAGAATTTCTTTCTATAAAGAAGACAAAGAGTGAAGGCTGGAAATGTGATGTAAGCAATACTTCAGTACTTTTGGGTTTTTTAAATGTAGATACTATGTTTTGTGACATGAATACTTAAGTGAAAATGTGGTATGTATTTCTGTGAAATCTCAGTAAGCCTCGTAAGTGGTGGTATAAACTTCTTCTTTATGTGCTGATTTAAAGGCTGAACTTGGTCTGTACAGCTTATGACGAGGTAGATAATATGAAATTGAATTCTAAAATAGTTGAAGGCAGTATTTTTTAATGTGATCAGTTATTACTGTTGTTAAAATACATCAGTTTGCAGATGATTAGGTTTGAGTGTTGCAAATGCTTTAAAAATAGAGTATTTGCTCTGCCATTAATTATGCACGTCAAACATAACCATAAAGTATACTTTTTTTGGAAGGTTCTCTCAATAGTGAGGAAAATACATGTCAAATATGAAACACTTTCTCATTTAGCTGCATATGCACATCAAGAGAGTTCTAAATTTGTACTAAATTTATCTCTGGTTGTAAAATCATAGAGTCCTTTCCTTGATTTTCCGCAGGAGAGGTATATTTGTGAAACTACATCTACTGTCAAAACAAGTTCGTAGAACGTCCATTCTCCATCTGTCTGGTGCCAAATAATGTTTTAAGGCTTCAAATGTGGGGTTTACTTTTTTTTCAGGGCAACTGTTTTGTTTATGCAAACTGCTATATGCCCCTGTATGTCTGTAACGTTAGGTGCTGTAACATAATTACTAACCTTGCTTTGTTTGTGACCTTTCACTTATAAACATGTAGTAGGAGGTTGGGAGATATCAACTGTAGGAATTTGTGGTGTTTGTTCTGCTGGTGATGGTATCATGGTTGGAGGTGTTACATGATTGACCAAAGGGTGTTATCTTCCAGATGAAGTTATATTGCAGATTCTGTTTGTTACTTGGTAAGAAACATTTAAAGAGTGGGAATCAATCGTGCAACATGTTGATGTTCATTTTCACAGAAAGTACTCTTACCACATGAATGATTTGGTAAACTCCAGTTTGTGGTTTGGGGTTTTTTGTTTGGGTTTTTTTTTTTTTTTCACTTGAAAATTTTCTGTTAAGTAGAGTTTTTAAAAAGTGAGCTGCTGCTCTTGTACTGCTGACATGCATTGAAAATGGACTTGAACTGAAAGCAGGAGTAGAATTTTAGCTTTTATAGCAGTTAGAGAACGTGTAGAATCCTTAGGAGCTGTGACAGGTTGTTTAGTATGTTCTGAGGGCTGAGGTGCCACAGATGTAAGCTGCAGGATTTCTTCAGGTTGTTGATTTATGCTCTAGTCCATGTGTGAACACCAGGATTTGGTGACGATATTTTAATCCCTGAGATACATGAGCAAATTCACAGAAACAGTAGAGTATTCATAGTAAAGAAAAGCAAGAAGGCTATTATACTTTACAGGTATGAGATTTTCTTACACTTATATTTAACATTAATGAGTTTTTAAACAAATAAAACTGTTGCTTTTGATTTTCTGAGGCTAAAAGTGTTATTCAGGTGTACTCTGAGAAAACTGCACGATTTCATGTATGACAGTTACGTAGTACTAGATTTAGGTATTACAAACAATGGCAACAGTTTCACAGTGAAATCAGTGAGCACCACGTTGATTTATGTTAAAGCATAGGACCCCGATGTTAAATTATTATACCTAGTTTAAATGCCGAAATTTGAGCTGTGTTTTCAATTCTGTAATTGAACTGCATGCTTACTTTAATGACTACTATAATTCTTGTATGTTTTGGTTTTGATTAATCTGAAAACAGTACTAAAAAGCTCACATAATTTTAACATTGTGAAAGTTCTGTATCTCTAAAATATATTTTGAGTTTTGTTTTTTTTTTTGTTGGTATTGGCATTTTCTCTTTAATACATGCTGTTGGAGAATTTCCCAGAGGAAATAAAGGGACAGGTATGACTCTAGTTCTACAGTAGCTTATGCTACAACAGCTTTTACCACAGTCCAAATGAGCTGTTTCAGCATCCAAAACCAAGCCAAAGCTATTTAGTTTTTTTCCATTGGGTTATTTTCTGCTGAGTTATGGTGTTGAAACACCCTACGAAAAGAGTGGTAAGTGCTGGAGTCAGTAGAAAGAAGTGGGGGTGGAGCATATAACTGTATGCAAGAGTTGCCAGTAGTTTACGCTGCCATGGATTGTCACCCTAATTTATGTAGTGCAATCCACTAGGGTTTATGTAGAACACAGATTTTTTGATGTTGACTGCGAGGCTTTACAAGTTGGATAGAGTAGGCTTTTGAAGAATACATGTTTAATCTTACATTGCTGCAGAGAGCAGATGAACTAAACTGTTAGAATTTATGAATAGGAGAAAAAATCTGGTTATAACTGATGTATCTTTGACAAAGCATATTATCATTTTAGATTTGTAAGAAGTCTTTCACTCGAAGACCTCATTTAGAAGAGCATATGATTCTTCACTCTCAGGATAAACCCTTTAAGTGTACCTACTGTGAAGAGCACTTTAAATCCCGATTTGCAAGACTGAAACATCAAGAAAAATTCCATCTCGGTATAGAAACTTCCTTCTGACATGTAAACAGTAGATTTAAAGTAAAACCTTCCTCCACCATTCTATGTCCTAACCACTCTGGTTTCTACCTCCCTTCCTTTTCCAGTTCTCCCCTTTCCAGTTTTGTGGGAGAGTTAGTTGTTTACTTTTCTGTTCAGCTGTTTTTTGGAGGTGTTGTATTGCACCTAAATAAATGCAAAGGAGGCGGGGGGGAGGGAGAAGAATTAAGGTGAGTTTTGTTTTAAAACTTTTTTGCATGAAATTGGTTCTCAACTATGGAGTCAGATTCTTCATGAAGTTTTCCAAAGACTTTTTTCTTTCCTCTTGAAGTATTTCAAAGACTTTTTTTATTACCGTTAATTATTTCTGCCAGGTAGGAACTAGATTGGTGATAGTAATGGGAATTTGGCTTTTCAGTCAGTCTTAAGTGGGCTTAATTACTTTTTAGTGTTCAAAAAACGTGTAGCCGTGGGCACTTAGGGACATGGTTTAGTGGGCATGGTGGTGTTGGACATGATGATCTTAAAGGTCTTTTCCAACCTTAATGATTCTGTGATTCTGTGACTATAAATTCTAAATTTTTGCTTTACAACCATGAAACTTGCCAGTATACTAGTGTTAGAAATAACTTATCTGAACAGAAAGTGCACAAAGTCTTAATTAAAATATGCTGACTGTACTAAACATCAAATCATGTCTTAGTGGTTTAACTCCAGACGACAACTAAGCACCACACAGCAACTCATTCACTGCCCCTGCCAGCAGGATGGGGGAAAGAGAATTGGCAGGGTAAAAGTGAGAAAACTCATGGGTTGGGATAAGGACAGTTTAATAGGCAAAGCAAAACAAGGAATTCATTCACCACTTCCCATGGGCAGGCAGGTGTTCAGCCATCTCCAGGGAAGCAGGGCTCCATCACACATAACAGTTGCTTGGGAAGGCAACACTCCCAACATCCCCCCTTTTCTCCTTCCCCCAGCTTTATATGCTGAGCACGACACCATGTGGTCTGGAACATCCCTCTGGTCAGTTGGGGTCTGCTGTCCCAGTTGTGACCCATCCCAGCTTCTTGTGCACCCCTGGCCTATTCACTTGGGCAGAAGAGGCCTTGGCTCTGTGTAAGCTCAGCAATAACTAAAACATCCCTGTGGTATCGGCACTGTTTACAGCATAAACACAACCCCATACTAGCTGCTGTGAAGAAAATTAACTCCACTCCAGCCAAAACCAGCACAGTTAGGCAAAACTTTTGCTTTGTAAATTTATCAGGGTTTTCACAAGTAACCAATCTCATTTGGTTTAACTGACACTTAACAGTACTATATATGTCTGTCTCCTTGTAGGGCCTTTTCCTTGTGATATTTGTGGACGCCAATTTAACGATACAGGAAATCTGAAACGCCATATAGAATGTACTCATGGAGGAAAGAGAAAATGGACATGTTTCATCTGTGGAAAATCTGTTAGGGAACGGTAAGGAGTTGCTTGACTACTTGAACTTCATCAGAACAGAAGAATATTTAGCATGCTTTCTCTGATTCTGACTGTGTTTTAGCTTTGAGTTTTTAACATAAATGAGACCATTTCAGAGGGCTAGTTATTAAACAGTAGCATCAGAGCCCCAGGTAGCTTGTGATTTTCTGATGACCTCTAAAATTAAGGGTGACAATTGTAGGTAATTAGTTATGAGGCGGAACTATATTAAGAAAGTCTTACCTCTAACTCACTTCACTTAGGGTTCCTGTGTTGTGTAAGAACATCTTGCATTTGTTTGGGAAAGGGTTTTCTGCCACAGATAATTTGGTAAATATACTGATGAGGGCAGGAAGATCAGGAAGACTGGTGGGAATGACTAAGAAGAAATTGCACTTGTACAAACATGGTTTCATGGAAGATGGAATAATACTGTACGACCTTTGCTGTTGTGTCTCTAAATGGAGGGAAAAAATGTTAATTTAGCTCTTTGAAAAGTGGAAGCTCTAAAAGTTGGCTGATAAATTCTACTATATAGAAAAAGAGCATAGAAAAACTGTAGAAATAAGATTCCCTGCTCCCCACCACCCCCCCATTTCCATTCTACACGTATGAGGGGAAAAAAAAAGTGAATTTTAAATGGTTGCTAACATGGCTTCAGTGCAGGTGTCTTGCACTGTTCTATAAAGGAGATCTTTTAAATTTTCCAAGTGGTGATTTATGTTCAAGTTCTGAAACATAAAAAGTTTATAAGGCTTATTTTTTTTTTTTAATTTTGACAGAATACAGCTTTGTCTCCGTAACTGTGACTAAGATTCTAGTTATGTTCTATTTGGGGAATATGAAAAGATCTGAGTTTGTATACTGCAATATGTTTTCTTGATTTTTAATTTTTTTTCCAATGACTGGCAAAGACTCCCCCAGAAGTATTGTAAGAGGAATATTTGTCCCTAATAGGTTTTGTTGGTGATGTGCATTTTCTAGTAGAGTCAGTAGGGTATGTCTAGGTCAATAGGGTATGTGTGTGTTAAAAGAAAATGTACTAATGCAATACTGAAATAGTAAACAAACAAGCTATAAGCACAGATATAACTGCAAGAATAATTTCTGTTTAAAAACAGTAAGTTTACACACCTCAAGTTTCATTTACATTGTTAGGCAGTTGAATATTTAAATGTTGTTGCTCTCATTAGAAAAGTCAAAATTTTTGTGTAAGGCATAAAAAATAATCTTCAAAAAATAATATTTATAATAAATACTGGAAGGAGATGAAGGAGTTTTCTCTTTTGTTGAGTTGACACACTTACCAGCTGTGCATACAGTAAATTTTATTGTCCTATTCCTTTGCTTGAGAGGGATTTTCACTATGTGCACTTTTTTTTTCCCTGCATTGGAAAAGCAATAGTAACAGTAGACTTACATATGCATACGTATGCATGTGTTTGTAAATATATATGTATTTAAATAAGCTCTGTGCTGTGTTAAGTTAAATTAACATCCATGATCTAAATTTTCTTCAAGTCTGACTTTAAAGCTCTGGCTTAGGTATACATATAGTAACAGGAAATTACTACATAGAAAATAGTGTCAAATTGAGGTTTTCTTTAACAGATGTTGTCCAAATGTATGTTGGGATGATGTTTTGTTTCTTTCTTTGTATTGTTTCTAGACCCAGCTGGTTCAGGAAATAGTAGGTTGCCATACTGCCTTTGAATGTATGTGTATGTGTGTGTATCTGAAAAAATTGATGCAGTTATTTGGATGTATTGTGATCCATCAGAGTTAAAGAAATTGAGAAAATGATGGTCTGTTTCACTTTACAGTGGCAGTGACATTGCTTAAAATTAAATTTTACTGCCTTTGTTAAACAGAACAACTTTGAAAGAACATCTGAGAATTCACAGTGGAGAGAAGCCTCATCTTTGCAGTATTTGTGGACAGAGTTTTCGTCATGGAAGTTCTTACAGGTACAGCTCTTACTTAATAAGCTGCAAAACTGTCTTGCTTATTTGGTCATATATATGCATTCATGTTATCGACAATTCTTTGTAATGTATGTGTTTTGATTTTTTCCAACTCTGAGGGCATTAGTAAATGCTTTAAACATGCTTAATTATTGAAAATATATTAATAATCTGTGAGGAGTCATTTGATTTTTAATATGTTAGTGGTTTAAACACAGATAGAATCCCATACCAATCTTTTAACAAAGTTGACTATCCTGCACATCTAAAACTTTTGCAGTTATTTCTCTTTGTTATTCAAAGAGAAAATAAGTGGAAGACTAAAATGTCCTACTAAATTAACGTTAGATGTGAGAGTTTAGCTCATAAACTGTTTAACAGTTTAAGCATACCTCAACAAAAAGTTTTTTCCTGATATTTGTGTGAAGCATTATAGACTGTGTTTTCTGGTATTTTGCATTGAATTAGCAGTACAGATTATTTTAACAATATTGCATTTTATGGTTATATTTGACTGTAAATATGCAGACTTCATCTAAGAGTCCACCATGATGACAAGAGATATGAATGTGAAGAATGTGGGAAAACATTTATTCGGCATGACCATCTGACAAAACACAAAAAAATACACTCAGGTAGGCATTTTCTTTGAAAATTGGCTTCAAAATCACTGTTTTGAAATAAGATAAAATAAAAAATTTAATTATGGATCTTTTTTCAGTACGTGCAATGTTTTAGGCGTGATAAAAGTTCCTCTCACTATTTTTAAGGTCTACTACAGTAGGGTTAATCTTACATGTTTGCAAGATTTAAAAGCCAAGTGTTTCCTCCACGTTAACATAGAAAGCCGAGGGACAGTCAAAAACATGTAACAGTGAATTGCTTTAAAAATAATAATAAAAAAAGCAAAAGTGAAAAAGGAGGATTTTTTAATGAGTTCAGATTTCTTTTTTTAATAGCAATTGTGTGAAACATTATTACCACAACACAGAAGAAGCTGTCACAGTCTCTGTCAAAGTTTGTACACTGATCACTTTAATGCAATAACATCAAAAAGGTGTTTTCTGAAGTCTGTTATGGAGAAGAGGGAAGGAAGGAAGGTGATGGGAGTCAACCTGGAGAAAAGCCAGGTGGGGATGATCAGGAGGAAGAAAAATAATCTGTTGCACTGAGAGTAGAAGGGTTATCAAATGTATAGGAAGAGCGAAGATTCACTAGGAACTTTTCCTTTTTCAGAGTAGGATCCAAAGGGAATGGAGCATTCTAGGAGGCAAAATACTAGGCAGCATGAAAATACAAAAGTGATCAGAGTTTAAACTTACTGAGCCTTTATTTTGAAGAACAGCTTCTTTTTTGATGTTTGAAATCATAATGCCTGCTATAAAATAAAGAAATCTTTAAAAACTCAAGTAAAAAAAAAAAAACAAAAAAAAAACAAACCCAAAAAACCAAAAAATCCTCTTTTCTACTCTATTTGCTTTTCCCCCCTCTAGAAAGTTACATTCTTTGACTGTCCACACTCCTCCTACTTACATGAGAAGAAATATTCTGCCACTTTGTGGAAGATCTCAAGATGACTAAAAAGAATCAAGATACTTTTAAACAGCAGCATAAAAGAAAAAGGTAATTATGTAAATCAGGATAATTACGAAGACAAATATTATTATGTAATTTTAAGATCTAAAAACTAGTAGCTGAAAATAATAGGTGTGTTTAAATAAGCTTCTCTTTTTAAAGCCCTGAATTATTGATGATACCGCATTTCGGGTCATAATGAAGAGAATAGATTCCTAGTCATTCACTTGTACCTCTCATGCAGTGGGTGTTTGGGGAAATGTCTCTTATGAATGTGAAATTCTTTGTAGAAATGACAGACGGTCAGTAATAGTCAACAAGTGGTAAAAATCCTTAGTCGGATAGAACCAACCTACCTCTGGCATTTTGTTCTTTGGTAACAGAGAATCCTTCTCTGAGTAAGATATGGAAGAGCTTGATTGGCTGAACTTTGTGAACATGGATCTACAGTATGTTTTACAATTACAGCTTGTAGACATTTAATAAGTTCCAGAAGATTTAACCAAAATTTATTGAATTTTGCCCTTGTAGGTGAAAAAGCACATCAGTGTGAGGAATGTGGAAAATGTTTTGGCCGTAGAGATCACCTTACTGTTCATTATAAAAGTGTTCATCTAGGAGAAAAAGTCTGGCAGAAGTAAGCGTGGGTTTTTTTACAATTGCGTAAATTCGTCTGTACTGTAACTGATTTTGTTGGGACTTGCAAGTTTGTGCAGAATTCTAGTAGTCTTTGTGTTTGTCATGCCCATTAACTTAGTCTTGATGGAGATAATGGTTTGAAGCACATGTCAGAAAATTATTTTCACAGTTTAAGCAAGATGTTTTCTTTGTAGCATAATTAAGTAAATAAAATAAAAACAATAAAAGTATCAAATTTTAATCTGTCAATTAGCTGTCTCAATGTTGTTGTAAATTGATGGTTTGCTTGTGATATTGTAATTGCAGACTAGTTAAGACTCAATTATTAGACATCATTTGAGCACTCTGAGAACTATTGCACACTTAAGTATTTTAGAAACTGGTAGATTAGTGGCTCTGAAAGTAGGTAAAAACTTTGAAACCCGAGTTATGTCTATAAATTGAAAATACAGTAGGTTTTTTAAATTCTTGAGCTCCAAAAATAAGCCTTTCAGAAATTTAAAATAAGCTGAGACCTAGTTGTTTTGCAAATGAGGTGTTTTAATGGCTTCTACTCATTAGCATTGTGTAGAAGCTGTTATAGATGTGTCTGTGTTGAAAGTATAGTACATTGTCTGCTTATTCTGTTTGTTTTTTCTTGGTAGCCAGTAGCCTAAACCATTCCTAGTACTTTATTTATGGCATAATTCTGCCAAAATGAAAGCCTCTTCTGGATCTTGGGCAAAAGCTGTTACTTAAGGATGTTTCTGGGGTCAGAAAAGAAGTTTTAGTGGCTTTTGCTCTTTGAATAGAAAGTGCTAATCCCAGCAAAGAATAAGATTGAAGATTTAGAAGAATCTAATCGATCCTGCAGATGCCAGGAAATATGAACATAAGTGAGGAAATTTGGAAACTTTGATACTCGGCTATTTTGTAGTTAAAGGTTTCAGAAAGGACTGTGCATGTAGCTTTATTGTTAGTTGGTTTAAAAAAAAGTATCTAACATGAAGTATCTTTTCTTCTTTAAAGATACAAAGCCACGTTTCACCAGTGTGAAGTCTGTAAGAAAGTTTTCAAAGGGAAATCAAGTTTGGAAATGCATTTTAGGACACATTCAGGTAAAACCAAAATAAACTCCAACGAAACCACAAAATACATAGAAATGTATTTTTATGCATCAACATTGATGGGATTATTTAATTCATCATAGTTGTTGAGCATTCAGGGCAAGAATAGCAGGAAGCAGCAAGACTTTTTATTCTATCTCATATGTCGGTTACTCCTGAATACTACCTTCGGAACATACCAGTTGAAATACTGATAAATCATCAACACAGGTTTGTGGTATGCTCTCTACACCTCCTCCTTTAGTTTACTGGTGTATGTTCTTGCCAAATTTACCTAGACCTTCTAATCATTTTTGTGGTCCAGAGAATACTACATTTCAAGTGGTAATCTAAACAAGGATTTGATCCCTTTAGAAAGGGGATCAAATCCTTACCTGTTTGACTTTGTTTTTCCCTCCTTATGTTTGGGAAGATCATTGTCCCTTCAAAATGTATAGGAATACAAATTGAGCTCATTTAATAGCAGTATTGTAACAGTTTAAAGAGACTGTTCTTTTTTCATTTGGTTTCTATTCTGATTATCTTTGTGTGTACCTGACAGAAATCCCAAGTGATGAGAGAATTGATGTACGGAGAAGGGCACATTAATATAACTTCTAAACAAACTTCTAATGGCTCCCTTGATTTCAAAATTGATGCTAAACATATGCTCTTTGTTTTCAGTAAAATTGTTTTGTACTAGGTCTCTATGCCATAACCATTTGCATATTTCTGTGTGACATGGTGTTACTCAGAATACCTGATTCTTACTTCTCTGTCTTTACAGGCGAGAAACCCTACAAATGTCAAATCTGTAATCAGTCTTTTAGAATTAAGAAGACATTAACAAAACACATGGTTATTCATTCAGATGCTCGACCTTTTAATTGCCAACACTGCAATGCAACATTTAAACGAAAAGACAAGCTGAAATATCATATCGATCATGTTCATGGATCAAAGGCTGCAGAAGAGGCATTGACATCTTCTTCAGAGGAAAAGCTAGTCTCCTTACCAGTCCAGTACACCTCTGATGACAAAGTTTACCAAACTGAGGCTAAGCAATATGTGGAACAGTCCAAAGCATATCAGTCGGAAGCCAAAACTTTGCTACAGGATGTATCTACAGAAGTATGTGTGCCTGTGACTCTGGTACCAGTTCAGATGTCTGATCCACAAGCTGATCTAGTGCAGCATACTACGCAGTCACATGGCATCCTTCCTCCACAACCTGAGCAGACAGATTATCAACGAGCAACAGATCTATCATTTCTAGAAAAATACACTCTTACTCCACAACCTGCAAATATTGTTCATCCTGTAAGGCCTGAGCAAATGTTGGATCCTAGAGACCAGTCATATCTTGGAACTTTACTGGGGCTAGATACAGCTCCTACTGTACAGAATATTTCAAACAATGAACATTCATGATCAGACCATAACATTCCACCTAAGTTACTAAGCCATTAGCCTACAGAAGGCTGATATGGCAATTAAGATTTATATTTTATATTTTATTTGGACTCATGAGTCTTCTGCATAGTTTTGGGAAAACAGGTTTGTTTACATAATATTTGAACATTTAGGCACGTTTTGATGCATACTGAAAGAGTG